CCCTTCCCTTTTCAAATAGTCTCACATGGGATCTTTAACGTCTGCCTGTCATCTATTACCCAAACAATAGCACTTCCAACAATGAAGTACTCTCCCAAACAAGTATCAGGCTGGACTATGTGAGTCCAAAATCCTGCTGTGCCCTTGCCCTGGCAGGTGGGCACACCACCATTTACCCAGACCCACAAACATTATTATTTGAGCGACCAAAAAAAAATAATTGTTTGCCACAAAGACCCCCCCCCCCACTCCCTACCGGCTGCTAAACTGTGTTGGGAGGGATGAACCAACCTGTGAGCGACAGTCAGACAAGCTGCGGTTCTTCAGTCTTGAAAAAAGATGGCTTCGAGGGGAGCGAAAAAAGTTAGGGAGCTTCGTGCTGAGATGGGAGGATGGTAGAGTGGGTGTGGGTTCTTAGAGAAAGCTAAGATCAAAGGCTATTCTTCCTTCAAACCTCCTCCTGCGAAATATTTTTGACGCTTGTTATCAAGCGATGATGTCCAACAGGGGGCATCGTAGACCACATAATCCACTGACTGTGTCCATGCAAATCATTGACGCGTAGGAGGGCTTCAAGTTTGTCACTGAGTGCGCAGGAACTGTTCAGTTTATTATAAGATATTTAATCGTAAGGTTTTGGTACATTTCCCCCCCCCCCGCCTCCCCCAGCGCTATGACAATCCACTTGTTTTGATGACCGAACATTCAATGTATCGTCTTTGCATTTGACACAGCACTTTATCATGTCGTCCAAACATCTCATAAGAACTTCGCAGGATTTGCTGTCCAGTGCAGTGACTGCGTCAGTCAATCTGCACACATTAATGTCCGACAAGCAGCCATGAAGTGAATACTAAGGACGCTTGCATTTGACACAGCGCCTTATCACGTCGTTGAGACGTCTCAAAGCGCTTCACAGAATACACTGTGATGTGGATTGACTGTAATTTGTGGGCAAAATACAAAATTTAAACTAAAAAAAACCCTCTGTATTTTGTGGGTTAAACACAGCAGTCAATTGCGCACAGCAGTGTCCCACAGTCGCGAATTGAATGACCGAATTTTTTGGAGGGAGGAATTATTACCTCCGGATAACAATCGGCCAATCGACTAATACCGGTTCCTACTTACTGCTAAGTAAACAGAGGAGTGTGGAGTAAGGAAACTTGTCTACTGCCTTGTTTGCCCCGCCCATGATTTGTACCCGGGTCTTCTCCTTTCTCCCAGTACACTACGAGACATATATTTGATATAGTGCCTTTTCACGTGAAGGGGACCATCTCAAAGCGCTTCACAGGATGTACTATAAAGTGGATTGAAAGTTAAGAGACTTGAAGGGGTATTGGGTTCAGTGGAATTGAACAGACAACTCGCTCTGAGAGCAGGTGAGGACCCCGATGGGCCGAATGGCCTCCTTCTGCGCTGTACATTTCCGTGATTCAGTGAGAAAAGCAACTTTCAGGACTGATCTGTAAGATTTAGCGTTGGCCTCCGGAAAGCGTTTGGTTCGGAAATTCTGGGTTGCATCGGACAAAAATAATCATACAGCAGCCGGAGTTGAGAATTAACCCCAAATCAGCTTTATTTTCCAAACGCCAAGCTGCTTTACAAATTTCCTACGAACAAAATCGTGCTTTTTCTTTAAGCGCTATTCAGCTCCGTGAAAGGTTCACTGACGGCAGAGATGAGAGACAAAAGCAAGTGCGCAACATCAGACTGTAGTGACGAAAGCAACCACATGTTTTGCAAGACCAAGAGGACAGAGGCGAAAAAAGTGTTCAGGGTGCAAGTGAAAGACTGCAGCTTAGAAGACGAGGGGTAAAGGTTACCCAGGGAGATGCCTGGGCAATTTTTTTCAACATATAATTGGGGAAAATCCTTACCAGCCCCTAGGACTTCCCCAGCAGTAATTTCACAATTCCCCACCAATAAATTGCTCTTCCATGATAATAAGTATTATTATTCTCCCACAAGATATACAGTCAATTCACTTTGCAGTATATTCTGTGAAACGCTTTGAGACGTCTCGAAGACGTGGTAAGGTCCTATATCAAATGCAAGGATTATTATTATTATTATTATTATTATAATTACCTTTTGTCAGCAGTCGCCAGGCGGGTCACAGTTTCAGCAGTTTATACAGAATTTTAGGCAAATTTTACAGAATATTATTCAATAACTAAAGACATTGTAATGATCATTGAGATTCCTGCTCTTGCATTATTTTAATCATCCTAAGGTTTTAAGGTTTTTTTACTCGTAAGGATTTTGTACATTTTCTTTTTGCCCCAGCGCTATCACAGTCTATTTCTTTTGATGCCAGCACATTCAATCCATCACAGAAATCCCAGTAAATAATCCTTGCATTTGATACAGCGCTCTATCACGTCGGCAAAACATCTCAAAGGGCTTCTCAGGATTTACTGTCAAGTGTAGTGACTGTGTAATCAATCTGCACACATTAATGTCCGACAAGCAGCCATGAAGTGAATGACCAATTTTGTTGGGGGGGGGGGGTATGGGATAAAAGTGGCTGCGGGATAAAAGTGCCCACTTTGAATTTAGTCCCTATCATTGATATTTCTTTAAAAAATGCCTTGGGAGGTGCTGGAGGAAGAGTGCGCAGGAAATTCAAGAGGGAATTGGATAGCGATTTAGATGAAATATTCGATTGAAGAGCATGAGACAGAGTAAAAAAGGAATACTGATCAATGAAAATATATCTTGCTCCTACTTTGGAGATGCAGATGAAATGTCAATGCAACTGTCTTTTCAGGCCCTGTGCCTTGCATCGGGCGAGGATTCTTCCCACTCGGTTCCTGTTAATCCAGCAAGCCAAAGGCCTGAGCGGATAGGGGGTTGTCTGAGCTGGTCAAGCAGCGAGAAGCTGGTGGAACATGACCCAGCGGTTCGTTCCAATCTGTGCCTAATCACTCTCTGGAATTAGATGTGCGAGCGAGAGACTATACGCTCCACCATACCAGACAAACGGAAATGTTCTGAGTCTGGTTTTGGATACTCAAAACGCGGCGATGAATTCCCTCGCAAGTGTCAAGACACCAGTCCGAGTAAAACCAAACTGTGTGTTTCCCGGGGAATCGTGGAGCTTGAACCTCAAAGACGTTCGCTGAAGCGATATTTAAAACGGCAGCAATCAGGGGGAATGTAAGGTTACTGTCAATGCATTGTACATCTCAGTCAGTGTCATCTCTTAAGCCTAACAGCCTCTGGCTGACAACACAAAACCAGCAACAGGTGAAGCAGTGAAACAAAAGGCCACGCGTCACAACCTGCGGTTAGTCAGAAGGAGGTGATAGACTGGGGAGGTGGGGAAATCAATTACATTTCAAAGAAACACGGCAAAATTGTTGCGAGCGAATATTTTACACACACCGATCGAATCCCCAGATTTAATGCGCGAATCATCATAATAATAGTCCTCGCATTTGATACAGCGCCTTATCACGTCTTCGAGACGTCTCAAAAGCGCGTCACAGAATATACTGTAAAGTGAATTGCCTGCGTATATTTTGTGGGCGAAACGATAAGAAAGGAAGTAACCAGTTCCTATCTTCCTATCCTACCGCCAAATTATCAGTTCCTATCTTAAAAACACCAGGAATTAAATACAGTAAAATCATAGGCCAACAGTACATCTATATTAAGAACCTTTCTTTACAGGCTTATTCTCTCGGTGTTGAGAGAAAGCTCGCTCCAGAAAATGAGTCACCTCCAACATCGATAAAATAAAATAATGCCCTTAACAATTAGAACTACATTTCTGGTCCTTATAAATTTTAACGAGGCACACACTCACACACACACACACACACACCAACACACACACCAACACACACAAAAGTGTTAAGGTTTTTGTTTGGTCAGCCGGGTATCTGACCCATGCAGAAGGAAACCCATCACCATGCTTAAGAGTACTTAAGAATTTAACCGTCTTATATCAAATAAATGCCAGGAATTCAAAGCATCACCCCCACCCCCCACCCCACCGCCCCCCAAAAAAACTAAACAGACTTATTAAGCACTCAGTCAGATTTCATTCCGTACAATCAGATTTTTTTTTGAAGAAAGTGCAGATTGCAAGAGATTTTACTTCCTGGGAAGCTGGAGTCACAAATGATTGTCCGCTGATTGATTTGCGCCTGCGTTCTATGCGATGATTTAATTCTTCCTTGACAAGCTGAATTTCCCACGCTGTCAAATCCTGGTTCTCCATTCCTACCGATTTATAATACACTACAAATAATAACGCTTCCATTCGATGTCGCGCCTGATCACCTCTTCGAGACGTCTCAAAGAGCTTCGCAGAATATTCTGTAAAGTGAATTGATGGTGTGTTTTGTGGACGAAACCGTTTCTACACAAAAGGAACGCACGGGGTTAAAGATGTAGATGACCACTGGTTGTGCGTGTGTGGTGGGGGGGGGGGGGGGGGGGTGGGGGAGAGAGTACCCACAGCAGACAGGTGGTCCGAGGATATTTACATGATCGTCAAGCCCGTCAGGCGATTAACAAATGAGGATTGGCGCTGCCTGTGGCTGGATTTACAATGAGATGTCAGCACGTGGATGGAGCCCCGAGTGGTCAGTAGATGCTGGATTCAGCTGAGATGACTTTCAAAGGGAGATGGTTAGGTGCTGGGGAACGTATGGAGGTTATAACGATAATAATCCACGCGGGGTCGAGACGTCTCAAAGCGCTTCACGGAATATACTGTAAAGTGGATCGATTGACTGCACGATTAAAACAATAATAGTCAGAATCCTTGCATTTGGTAGAGCGCCTTCCAAAGCCGGGAGGACGTCCCAAACGGCTGGCGGTGTTTACCGTGAAGTGGGAGCGACTCGAGCATGTTTTGTGGGCCATGGCGGGAGTACGATGGCGCACAGCAATGCCCCCGCAAACAGCCGTGGAGTGAGCGACCGATTTCATTTGGGGGATTGCTGGCCGGGTCGCTGGTAAGAGAGAAACGCCCTTCTCTTTTCCAAACGTTACCATTGGGATCTTTAACGTCCATCTGGACAGTCAGACAGGACCTGTTTTAACGACTCATCCGAAGGACGGCACTCTTGACAATGCAAAAACGCCCCCACCGCCCCCTCCCCCGCTACCATCTTGAATTGGAGGGTCAACTTAAGACTGTGTGACTCCCAACTCCTGAGGTGAGGGCTTGAAACCCACAAGCTTCTGACTCGTCGAGGCGAGTGGGCTACCAACTATGCGGGGCTGACGCAACTAAGGTCGTGGAGCAAAGCGGGTGGGGTGGGGAGAGGGCTGAGGTGGAGTGTGAGGTGGGGGGTGGAATGGGAGGGGAACGATGGGATGGGATTAAGAAGATAAAGTGCTGCCACGGATTAGTAAAATGGGACGAGAGACAAGTATGAAGGCTCCTCGGGGCTCTGCGGTTCTTACAGGACATGAGTCGGCAAATATGTGCTAAAGGATGTCCATCGTTCTCTCTCTCTCTTTCTCTCTCTCTCCCCGGGCATGTTCCGTCCCATACAAAGTCGGTGTGCGGGCGTGCGGGTCCCCCCCCAATCCCACCTCTCTCTCAGACCCCGGGCGGAGATCGGACGGGGTTGACCGAGTGGCCGTCGCGGACCGAGCTGGAGCGGGTGGAGAACGAGTGCGAGCCCAGAGCCAGGGCGGACGTGCCTCCGGCCAGCGGCCCCGGGAGCGAGTGGTAGCCTCCGCGCTTCCCGCTCCCGTCCTCTGCCCCGCACGGGTAGGCCAGGCTGTCGTACAGCCTCTTGCCGCTCGGATCCACGTGGCTCTTCTTGCTCGGGTAGTACTCGCCGACCAGGGCGGTGTCCGCGCGCAGCCCGCCCACGTCCGCAGAGCTCAAGCCCTGGCTGAAGCGGTAGGTGGTCTCGCTGCCGGCCACCACCCGCGTTGACTGCCCGGGCGGCTTGAGCTCGCCCCCCCCCACCGTCTGCCCGGACTTCAGCTCGTTCTCCACCTCCCGCCGGAACTGGTAGGACTCGCTGGAGCTGCCGATCAGGGTGACGTGCTCGGCCGTGCGGTGGACCAGGACAGTGGGGAAGCGAGGCTTCAGGTCTTCGCAGATCTCCAGCGCCCGCCCGCGACTCTGCCCCCCGGCCCCCCCGGGCTCCAACCGCACCTTCTCGCTGACCAGCAGCTGCTGCATGCGGTTGATGAGCATCTCCAGGCTAAACTTGGCCACCGTCAGCTGGGAGGCGTCGTGCAAGTCCCCGGCCTCCTCCAGCTGGATGGTGGTCAGGTCGTCAGACTCGGACACTCGGCTGGTCACCCGCTGCTTCCGCAGGATGCCCTCGTACTCCTCTTTGCAGAACATGTCCATGTACCTGAAGATGTCCGAGTCCAGGATGATGGTGGCCTCCTCGTGAGGCTGGGCGAGCTGGGTGGCGTCGCTGACGCTGTAACTGCGGGAGGACAAGACTTGCGGGACTCCTTGGCTTGGGGACCGTCTTTCCCCGCGGGTTTGGGGACCCTCCTCTCGGTGTCGCTGCCCCCTCCGGCCTTGGCCCCCGAGCTCTGGAGCTGGCTGACCGGGGGCAGCTCAGCGATCCTGCTCAAGAGGTCTTTGCGGAGCTCCTTGATGGCCGTGAACGTGCCATCCACGTGCAGCTTGCGCTCGCCGCGGGCGGAGAAGTGAAGCGACTTGTTGTTGCTCTGAAGGTCTCGCAGGAGTTTGCCGACGTCCATCCTGGGCTCCAGGCTCGATAGGTCCAGGTCCACCGAGACCCGCGTAAACACCTGGAAGAAGTCGAGCGCCGTACTGTGAGCTCTCGCTACTCTACCCAGTGTGGTCAGTGAAACACCAAGCTCAGTGCTGGCCAACCTGTGGCCCGCGGGCCGCATGCGACCCTCGGGATCTCCAAGAAGCGCCCATCCCCTCCCCCACCCCACCCCACCCTGGATTTATGACACATTAGGTAATCCGATGGAAATGGGCATTTACGACAGCAGCAACAACAAATCGCGTTTGTTAATTGGGTTCGTATCGCTCCTGTCAGGTCACGAGGATGTCCGAAGGCCTTGGACAGTGAAGGGTTTGCCTCCAAGCTGCGGGGCGGAGTCAAGAGGGGTTGGGAGGGTGACCGAAGGCCCGGACAAAGAGGAAGGTCTTGAGACGGGCCTTGAAGGAGACAAGGGAGGGAGGGGGCGAGCGAGGTGGTGAGATTCAGGGATGGAGTTCCAGAGGGTGGGGGCAGAAAGGCTGAAGGCCCGATCACCGATGGTGGGGTGGGCAGTGGGGGGGGGGGAGGACATGGAGCAGGGCGGAGCCCACAGAGCGGTGGGACGTGTTTCTGCTCAGTTGATGGCGTTAGCGTCGTGGAGCCCACACTTACGTCCACTCTGTAGCGTGAAACCTTCAGCGGGTATCTCGAGGGCAACGCCTTGTCCTCCAGGGCTTGTTCGTCTTTCTTCAGCACGCTCTCCACAACTTAAACACGAGAGAGAGAGAGAGAGAGAAAGAGAGAGGAGAGAGAGAGAGAGAAAGATGGCCAAGAGAATAATAATAATAACAATCCTTGCATTTGATACAGCGCCTTATCACATCATTGAGACGTTACAAAGCGCTTCACAGGATACACTGTAAAGTGAGTTGACTGTGTATTTTGTGGGCGCAACGCGGCAGACAACTGCGCACAGCAGTGTCCCCGCAAACAGTCGTGGATTGAAGTGACCAAATTATTATTATATTGTTTTCATGGATTATTTCCCCCCCCACCCCCCCCCCCCCGGAAAGCGATCCGCCAATCCACTAACAACCGAGTTCCTCCTCGCTGCTGGGTAAACAGAAGCGTGTGTGCAGCGAGGAAACTTGCCTAAGGTTTCGCCCCGCCCGGGAATAGAAGCCGGGTCCTCCAGCTGGTGAGGCGAGAGCGAGAACCACTGAGCTACAAGATGGTGAAGAGGACGTGAAGTCGCCGAAACTACGGCTGAAACTCGCGGCATTCCTCAACCCATTCCGCTCCCTACTAAACGTTGTTAATAAGGGAATGGTAAGGCCACAAGACCAGCTACAAACATGTTCTTAAAACGCGTCAGAGTGTCTCCCCTTCTCTCCCCTCTTCTCGCTGAGCGCCAGTGCGTGCGGCCTGTCTGTAGGCGGTACCTTTCTCCTCTTCGAACGTGACGTAAGCGTTGCCCTTGACCTCACACGGATAGACCACGTTTTCCACCTCCCCGCCGCCATTCCTCGGCCTCAGGAAGTGAATGGTGAGCTTGTCGGCCATCACGGCAATGGGCAACACGTCCTCGGGAATGCCGGACACCACGATGGTTCTGGAAGCCCACTCCGATTCCATCTTCTCAGCATCTCCCGAAGCCTGTGGAGTGGGGGCACGAGGACCAGGAACAACACACAAAGATATGTCAGGTTTCATTACAATTCATCTTAGAGGGAACCTTACAGATCTTAGTCTTGTAGCTCAGTGGTTAGAGCACTCGCCTCGCAAGCGAGAGGACCCGGGTTCGATTCCTGGGCAGGACAAAACCTTAGACAAGTTTCCTTACTCCACACGCTGTTAGTCAATTGGCGGATCGCTTTCCGGGGTTAATAAACCCTCAGTCACTCAATCCACAACTGTTTGTGTGACACTGCTGCGCGCAACTGTTTACCACATTTCGCTGACGAAATACACTTTACAATGTATTCTGTGAAACGCTTTGAGACGTCTCAACGACGTGATAAGGCGCTGTATCAATTGCAAGGATTATTATTATTATAAAATTTTCAATAGGATTTAAAAGGTAAATCCAGATCAATACTTTCGGATGCACAGCAGAAGAATCGGTTTAGAGTTGCCAAGGGTAATTTCAGAACAGACACTAGGGAAGTTTTACTTAACGCACAGGGTAAGTAAAGGCCGGAACAGGTTGCCAGGAAGGATGGTTGAGGCCGAGACATCGATGCCGTGATGGGAGGACAGTCGGGCGGATATTCTGGAAAGATGAGATCAGATGGGCTGAAGGGCCTTCTTCAACCAAACTAGTCGTAATAATTTTTGCATTTAATATAACCTCTTATCACATCTTCGAGACGTCTCAAAGCGCTTCACAGAATAGTCTGTAAAGTGAATTGACACTGTATGTGGTGGGCGAAACGCGGCGGCCAATTGCGCACAGCAGCGTCCCCACAAACAGCCGTGGATTGAAGTGACCAAATTATTATTTTTTTTTTGGAAGGAATTATACCCCCAGAAAAGCGATCTGCCAAATCAAATAACAACCGGGTTCCTACTTACTGCGAGGTAACCAGAGGCGTGTTGATTAAGGAAACTTGCCCAACATTTATATCAGATACAAGGATTATTATTATTATTATTATTATTATTATTATTAGGAAGATTCCAACCCACCACCTCAGTGCCTTTACTGCTATACAGGTTGTTTAGCAGCTGTTGTTGCTGATTTCCTACGGTTTCTTGTGAAGCACCAGTCCTGCAACAGCCTCAAAGCGCTTCAAGGGATTTACTGTACCGTGGAGTGAGTGTGTACAATGTTTTCCACAGAAGCTAAGGCACGGAAACAGGCCACTCGGCCCAACCGGTTTGTCTGGGTGTTTCTACTCCACGCTGATCTTAACCTGTTCCTTACGCCCTCCCATACCTTTCGATTCCCCTCTCCCCCCCCATGTCCAGCTTCCTGTTAAATGCCTTTCCACTATTCAACTCAACCACCCGTTACAGGCAGCGAACTCCACGACGACGTGATAAGGCGCCACATCAAACGCAGGGGTTATTGGTAGTAGTAGTATTATTATCTGGAATGAATCTTCTGCACCCACTCCAGAGTGCAGATTTGCAAATAAAAAAAAAATACACAAAATCCAGACAGACGCAGGAAGCATATTGCCAGGGCATCCGGCTTACATAACAGCACGTAATGGAGCCAACGCCGTACATCAGCTCTCCGAGGCGCACTGAAACATTCAAACAATAATTGGGCAAAATACATGGACAGTCAGTCGTTCAGTCAGTCGACTGACTGACTGTGTTTCCCCACTGACAGCTGCCATGTTTGGATTCGAGCAAGTGTCTCTCTGCTTCTCTCCCTCTCTCTCCGTCTTTGCAAGATGTTTTTTTTTTCTCTCCCCCCCCCTCACCACCGCCTCTCGATTTTGTGTATTTTTATTTGCAAATGTCCCTTTCACCACTCGGTCAAAACACTGCACGCAGAGAGCAACAAAAAAACCCGATGATGATATAATGATAATAATAATAATAATAATCCTCGCATTTAATACATAGCGCCTTATCGCATCGTTGAGACCTCTCAAAGCGCTCCACAGAACATACCGTAAAGCGAATTGATATATTTCAGGTGTCTTATTCAAATGATGTTTCGTTAAAACATGATTGCAGTCAAATTGGTGTATTTGATGCTGATATGTTTAAAGAATGGCACAAAAATAGGTGGTGGGGGAAATCGATGCAGAAAAAACCTTTGCAACACCTCCTCTCTCTCTCTCTCTCTCTCTCACAGTCTCAGTCTGGTGTATTTCTTACCTGGGGGAGATGAAATAACATCACTATGTGAGCCAAGAAGAGATCTACATTGCTAACTCACTCACTCACTCACTCACTCACTCACTCACTCACTCACTCACTCACTCCTCAGCTCAGGAACACTGCTTTGCAAATGAAAAAAAAAGAGAGAACACATTATTATTATTATTATTATTATCATTATTATTATTTGTATAACATGATTCTCAAACACGACTCCTGCATTTGATACCTCTCTCTCTATCTGTAACATGTATACATATTTATATAAACATAGTGATGTTATTTCAGTTTAATTACAAATAAACACACACACACACACATATATATATAATAAACAAAAATGAAAGCGAAAGTGAACCAGACTTTAGTCCATTTCATTGCACAAACAACCCACCAATC